GCAGGTGGATTCCTTACCAGCTGAGCCACGAGAGGCTCAAAAACAACAAACATTTATCTCCCACAGTCCTGGAGACAGGACATTGAGGACCAGAGCACCAGCAGACTGGCGAGGCCCCTTCCTGGTTTAAAGCTGCCCATCTGCTCTGTGTCCTCACCTGGAAGAAGGGATGCTGCAGCTCCATGCGTCTCCTCTGGGAGGGTACCAGCCTCATCACGGGAGCGCCATTCTCCTGACCTCATCGCTTCCCAAAGCCATCACTTTGCAGTAAGGGTTTCAACGTGTATGTTTCCAGGGAGGGGGAACTTACACATTTAGACAATAATGGACATAGTAACGTACAATATCACCTTCATACGATTTCACAGTTTTAATAAAAATTCACTTAAAAATCTGCAGTGGGCCCAAGGGCTACAGTTTCAGGGGTAAGGCGCTGGGTGACTGGTGACTGAGGTCAGGGGAGACTCCTCAGAGATGATCTCGAAGTCAGAGAACTAAGCAAGGAAAAGTTGCTCAGACAGCGTGAGTGGGCAGGAACTTGGGGTGCCCACCAAGGACCTTCCGGTTTCCTCAGCTGAAGTCCTGATGCATTTTCAGAAAATGATCTACCAACACACCTGAGCCAGTTATCTGTTGTAACTGGGAAGAATGGAATTGATTCCATGTTGGGTCTGTTTCTCTTCCTTTAACATTTGCTTCCTGTTGTTTTTGTTACTGTAATCACTAAAAGGATGCTGTCTATAGGTGTAAGCATCATAATGGCCTGCCTCAGGGGACCTGCCCTTCTGCCAGATTGTTAACCTAAAGTGTCTTTGTCCAGCTCACAGAGGGGCATCCTGACCCTGCCCACCTGTGAACGGCTGCAGAAAAGAAGAAATGAACACATTCCCTCACCAATGCTGGCCAACCCAGGAGATATTTTGCAAGACTTATAGCCTTGTTACTTTCTCACTTCCTCCTCCTCTCTGTTCTCTTAGAGAAACTGGCATCCAGAGCCTGTTAAGACAGTACTCTAGGGCGCTAGTCCACCATCTTAGCAGAGGCCCAGCTTTCCGAATAAAGCTGTGTTCCATGTCTCAACACTGTCTCTGAATTATTGGACAGTCATGTGGTGAGCAGACCGAGCTTGAACTCAGTAACATTGTGACAAACTACACCAAATTTCAAAAAGCGACAAGTAAAAAGGTGACTGGGGGTACTGGCTGGTTCTGTGTGGCGGGTGAGCGATGCAGAGACATGCAATTTGACAGGAACCTGTTCCTAAGTCCAAGCTGGATCTGCTGGACACACAACAGGTCAATGAATAGGAGAGATGAGGTGCTGGGGCAAGGAGTACGACTTTATGCAGAGAGCTGGCTGACCGAGAAAACGGCAGTCTAAGGTCTCAAAATAACCATCTTGTCAGGGTCTGGATATCTGGGTCTTTAACAGAGTCAGAGAGAGAGAAGCAAAGAGGAGCTACAGTCAAAAGTCAGCATAGACAGGGAGAGGCAGAGAGGAAGTAAAGTAAAAAGGGTCTTCTATCTCGCAAAACATCTCTGGGAAGGGCCAGCCTTTGGTGCATTTATCTCTTTTCTTTTTGTAACCATTCACAGGTGGACCGGGTCAGATTACCATTTTATGAGCTGAACAGACACTTTAGTCAGGCAGAGGGGCAGGGTCCTTTGAGGCAGGCCATTATGTATGCTTATAACAACAACAGCAACAAAAAGCAAGTTAAACAAATAGTTTTCAACATGGAGTCAGAATTGGCTTCTCCCTGCAGCAAATCTACCAATCATAACAGGCTTTTGTATTTTGTACCTCCCCTATCCCTCGCTGACCCCTGCAGAATGGGCATTTTCCCATCTGAGGGAGACTTCAGAAAGTCACCAGTCAGCACACAGCACAGCCAAGGTCACCAGGGGAAAAGTCAGTATGGATTGAGCACCAGATAAAAAATTAACTCACTATTCCTGAGTGGCTCCGTGAAGGAGCTCTGTGCAAGACAATGGTTTACAATGAGGTGGAAAGCGACGAGGATGAAGGCTCTGTAGGCAGAGCTGTGAGGATAATGTTGGGCCCTCTGTGCCTTTTGGGACATTCAGGCTGGTGGCCGGGGGTGGGGGCTGCTGCCCTCAGCTGTGTGCCCATCACAGCACTTCTGCTGGTGCCCCTTTTCAGCAGGGGGCAGGAACCTGTCAGCAGGTGGCATCAATTTTGGGACTGGGGACGCTCGTGAAGTTTGGGTGGGTGGGTGGTCTTGTTACCTAGTCCAAGCTCACTCTGTTAGCTTGGACTAAGTGAAAATCTCTCAGTCGTGTCTGACTCTTTGTGACCCCATGGACTATACTGTCCATGGAATTCTCCAGGTCAGATTACTGGAGTGGGTAGCCTTTCCCTTCTCCAGGGGATCTTCCCAACCCCGAGATCGAATCCAGGTCTCCTGCATTGCAGGTGGATTCTTTACCAGCTGGGACACCAGGGAAGCTCAAGAATATTGGAGTGGGTAGCCTATCCCTTCTCCAGGGGATGGTCCTGACCCAGGAATCAAACTGGGGTCTCCTGAATTACAGGCAGACTCTTTACCAGCTGAGCTACCAGGGAATCCCCACAGGGAAGCCGATTAACAAAGAGACAAGTTGCTGAGGCAAGGAATAGGACTTTATTCAGAAAGCTGGCTGAATGAGAAGATGGCAGACAAATATCTGAATAACCATCTTATCAGGGGTCTGGAGGCCAGATTCTTTTTGTAGAACAGAGTGGAGAGGAGGTGAGCAAATAAAGTAAAAAGGCCATTAAGCTTGCAAATATCTCATGGAATGGCAAGCCCAGGAAAGGGATGTGTTAATTTCTTCCTTCCTCCCATCCACAGGTGAACAGCATCTGAATTAAAGGCATTTTAACAGTCAGGCAGAGGAGCAGAATTCTTGGTATGAGCAGCCGTTATGTTTGATTATAATAATAAAAGCAACAGAAAGCAAATCAGAAACAGTTCCAACCCAGGATCAGGATTGGCTCATCCCTGCCACAGCCTGAGAATTGAGCCCTCCATCGTGTGCTGGGAGGGGGCTCTTCTCTGTTCTGTCTCATGAGCCATCAGACGCTGGCTGTGCCCCACTATACCGTTTCATGACCTCCTGATGGGGCCTGCCATCTACTTGGAAAACACTGTTCTTTGGGGTTTCCACCTTTGCTCAGTGAGGCATCCTGGGCAGCCCTGGGATGGACAGGGACTTGGGGAGTGGGCCCAAGCAGCAGGAAGCCTCACTGAGTATCTCTGAAATACTATCAGGTTTAAGAGAATCTGGCTTTGGAATTAGTCTGGGGTTGGGCTTCCCTGGTGGATCAGATGGTAAAGAATCTGTCTGCAATGCAGGAGACCTGGGTTTGATCCCTGGGTCAGGAAGGTCCCCTGGAGAAAGACATGGCAACCCACTCCAGTATTCTCACATGGAGAATCCTCAAGGATGGAGGAGTCTGGCGGGTTACAGTCCACAGGATCGCAGAGTCAGATACGTACATGACTGAACATTTAACACGACTTCAGCCTTTGGTGAGCCCAACTGAGGGCGGTCACCACTTGGTGCTGTCTGGCCTTCGAAGGGTAACAGATTCTGCAGAAGCAGGCGGAGTTCTCTGAAGGTGTCCAAGTGGGTGGGGTGGACTGGGGTGGTGACCGCTGGCTGTCCTTAGCTTTGCTGGCTGTAGGGGCAGTGCTGGAGGTGGTCGGGGTGCTGCAGAGAAGCCAATTCTGACTCCATGTTGGAAATTGTTTTAGACTTGCCTTAAGTTGCTTTTGTTATTATAATCATACACAATAGCCTGCCTCGGAGGACCCTGCCCTTCTGCCAGACTGTAAATTAAAGTGTCTTTGTTCAGCCCACATAGATAATCTGTCTTTGCCCACCTGTGAATAACTTCAACAAAAAGAAAAGATTAACATATCCCTTTCAAAGGCTGGCCATTCCTGGGGATGTTTTGCAAGACTGAAGACCCTTTCACTTTACTTCCCCACTGCCTCTTCCTCTCTGCTGACTTTTGACTTCAGTTTCTCATTGCTTCTCTCACGGCTTTGTAAAAGAACCTGGCATCTAGGCCCCAGCAAAATGGTTATTTGGAGACGTGAGCTGGCCCTCTTCTCAGTCAGTGAGCTTTGGTTTTCCAAATAAAGTTCTATTCCTTGCCTCAACCAATGGCACGCCACTCCAGTACTCTTGCCTGGAAAATCCCATGGACAGAGGAGCCTGGTGGGCCGCAGTCCGTGGGGTCGCTATGACTGAGCAACGCAGCATCAGCAGCAGCCTTGCCTCCACACCTCCTCTCTCACTGGCCTGCCCTGCAGCAAGCAGAGTGAGCTTGGACTCAGTAAATGGGCTTGCCTGGGTTCACCTGTGTGGTTTAGAAATGGCTGGAGACAATTTGTTTCCCGGTGTCACATTTACCAGGTTCTAACTGAACTAATAGTTAGGTCTTTGGTGTTTGGTTTTCTGGCTTAAGTGCAGCCTGTTGGAAAGAAAAGGACTTCATCTCCCAGGGATAGCAGGCCACTGCCGTCCACCGCCCCAGAGGCCTGGGGGTTCCCGGGGGGCCTCTCAGGTCCCCTAGTGACAGGGACAGCCAGGACCCCAGGTGCTGGCTGGAGTCCTGGAGGCAGTTTTGTTCCTCAGAATGAATGAGTCATTTCCTCCCGCCCTCTCGGGCGCTACGAGGACCAGGCGGGTCCCAGAATGAACCCGAGGCCAGAGAGACCCAGGGGACCACCTTTGGCCTGTGGAGCCCACTCTCATCCCCAGCCCAGCGCTAGGTCCACACCGGTAACGCTGGCACTTTCCCCAGAGAATCCGCCTGCCCCACGCTTGCACTCGGGGTGCGTGCCCGCAGATACCCTGGCTCCGGCCGGGGCGGTGATCTCGGGTGGTCACCTCTGTCCCCCAAGTTTGCTGTCAGGAGAGGAAGAAGCCGCAGGGAGGTGTCGTGGGCGGGACGAGTGACTTAATGAGTAAGCGGTTAGTCTCCGGTCACTCGCCGTCGCCCGCTGCGCAGCAGGAAACCCGACGGGGGTGGGCGGGGGCGCCCGGATGGGAGGAGCTGCGGGCCGGCGGGCGGGGACCCCCGGGAGGCCTGACTCTACCAGCTCCCCAGTGCCTCCTGGCACAGTTCGGGCAGTCTCTGCGCGGGGAGCCTCCGTGGCCGAAGTTTAGTTTTCGGGAATCAACCTGCCGGTGAGGCGACTCGGTGCGGGGACGCGGGGCCACCAGCGGGGAAGGTGCGCGGGTACGCTGTGCCGGGAGAGCGCACGCGGGGCGAGTGCGCGGAGCGAGCGCGGGGAGGACGTTCTCCGAGGGTGTGCGGGGTGGATGCCCCGGGAGGAGGTGCGGGGAGACCGCGCGCGGAGGAAGTGACAGGAGGGTGTGCGGGGAGGGCGCGCGCGCAGAGGAAGTGCGGGGAGGATGTTCCGGGAGGGTGTGCTGAGAGAGCGCGCGCGGAGGACGTGACAGGAGGGTGCTCGGGGAGGATGCTTCGGGAGGATGTGCCGGGAGACCGCGCGGAGAGGACGTGACAGGAGGCTGTGCGGGGAGGATGATCCGGGAGGGTGTGCTGGGCGAGCGCGCGCGGAGAACGTGACAGGAGGGTGTGCGGGGAGGATGTGCTGGAGGGAGGGCGCTCATCCTTGCCTCCGCCGCTCGGGTGTCCGGGCTCCGTCAGGATGCTGGGTTCACCTGGTGCATGAGATGCGCAGCCCAAACCGAGCGAAATGGGTCCTGGGACACCTGGAGCGTCCTCTCCTCGGGAGGGGAGAGGGGAAATGACGTTTTGGAGGAGGACTGTTACCAGACCTGGAGAGTTAAAATGAACTCGGGTGTGTGCGTTGAGCCAACAGATTTAAGTGTCACAGCTTAAAATACTGGCGTCAAGGTGTCCGGCAGATCAAAACAGAAACTTCACAGTTAAAGTATCTGACACAAACATGATTTGCACCGGGGGGCGGGTCTGTTTGCAGCTCTTGTAGCGGCAGGTTGCTTTTAGACGGGCACGTGGGGCCGCCTCTCCAGCTCTGGGGTCTGGGCGTGTCCGGGAAGTCAGTCACCGCCCGCAGCCTTCTCCTACCCGCTCTTTCCCAGCCCTGGCCGTCTTTGCTCTCCTCGCCAGAGGTCAGCTCTGCCCTGTGCAGTTCCCCGCTGATGGTGACTTGCAGAGAAACCCCCTCTGAAATCCAGGCTGGAACGCAGCCATATCCTGTAAGGCTGGCTCCAGGCGTCGTGATCCTGCGCTCTGAACTCTGTTTTCCGTCCTCCCCGCTGCCTCTTCGTCCCCGTGCCCTGCCTAGCCTGGTCTCCCTTCGCACATCCTCCCCTTCTTTCTGTGTTTCCGGGTCAGAGAACTTTGATTCCATTCATTGGCTGTGACCCTGGCTTTTTAAAGATCTGCATTTTCCCTGAATAGAAAGAAGCGACGCCCAGTGAGTTTCCCACCCTGCCAACCCCTTCCAGGACTGCTTGCCCTTCATTCGGCCTGCCTGACTCTAAGCAGAGGACCCGCTCTCCCAGTTCTGGGCCAATTTTCCATGATTCCCCCCCCCCCCCCCCGCCCCTTTTAGAGGCCAAACTGACCTTTTAAGTTGTCTTTCTACATTCGCTTGAAGACTGCAGACTAATTCAAACAGGTTTATCAGACATGAATTATATTTTTTATTCCAGTACTCTCAACACTGGTAGGCACTGAAGGAGCACTTGAGTTGAGACAAAGTAGCTATTCTTTATGTTGGCTTTTGTCCAAGTGAACTTTCTCATTGTCATAAAATTAATACAAATTCATTGTTGTTGTTTTTTTTAAACAGAACAAATATATAACAAGAAAGTGAAACTTTCAGTTTTTCTGCTTCCTAAAGATAAACCCTGAACATCTTTCTGTCCTTCCCTCCCTCTTTCCTCTCATATACACACACATATTTGCTTTTGAAATATGTTCATTCAAAAAAAATAAAAAATAAACGTTTACACACTAATCTATATGCCCAAAGTAATTCGCCTGTCTGAATTGGATTAAATAGGTTAAAACTAAAATAAAATAGAACAATACAAAATGTAAAACAGAAAAATACAAAACAAGAAAACCAAAACCAGCTGCCAGCTGGAGGGCTTTTTAATTTTGCAAGTTGGATCTAGCACAGCTAGAGTGACGACCCAGTTAAGGAAGTGTTGCTGGTGGTTTAGTCGCTCAGTCCTGTCTGACTCTTGCGACCCCAGGGACTGTGGCCCACCGGGCCCCTCTGTCCATGGGATTCTCCAGGCAAGAATACTGGAGTGGGTTGCCATGCCCTCCTCCAGAGGATCTTCCCGACCCAGGAATAGAACCCAGATCTCTCCTGCATTGCAGGCAGATTCTTCACCAACTGAGCTCTGAGGGAAGCCCCTGTAAGGAAGGGGTGGGGTCAAACTAGGTTATATCCTGTCTCACAGAAGAGCAACAGTCAATGGAGAAATTGAAACACTTTCTGGACTGGCCTCAGTTAGGAACTAGAGTGAATTTCAGAACCTTTGCCTTCTCTTCACTGATGATTGGCAAGAAGGTGAGTGATGGACTCCTGTATCTCATGTGGAAATGTTGCCCAGCTCTTGGCTCCCAGTCCACCAGTGCTGAATAGAAAGATGGAGACAGTTTGGAGGAAATAGAAGTGACTTTATTCCGTTTGCTGGGCAAGGGGGAGAACACAGCAGGTTAGCACCTCAAGTACCATGCTTCCCTTCTAGGGGAACCGAGAAACTTTATATAGCCTGGGTCTCGTCGTCTAGGGTAGATGATAAGGCTCAAAGTGATGAGGGTCTCGCCGCCTTCTTGCATTATTTCAAAGCAGTCACAGCTGGCGACAGGCTGCCTGGTAATTGGGTCCGTTTGTCTCTGGGTTATGAGCTTCCCTTGTGGCTCAGCTGGTAAAGAATCTGCCTGCAATGCAGGAGACCTGGGTTCAATCCCTGGGTTGGGAAGATCCCCTGTAGAAAGGGAAAGGCTACCCACTCCAGTATTCTGGCCTGGAGAATTCCATGGACTGTATAGTTCAGTCACTCAGTCCTGTCCGACTTTTTGTGACCCCACGGACTGCAGCACACCAGGCCTCCCTGTCCATCACCAACTCCCAGAGTCTACTCAAACTCATGACCATTGAGTCGGTGATGCCATGCAACCATATCATCCTCTGTGGTCCCCTTCTCCTGTCTTCAATCTTTCCCAGCATCAGAGTATCTTCAAATGAGTCAGTTCTTTCCATCAGGTGGTCAAAGTATTGGAGTTTCAGCTTCAGCATCAGTCCTTCCAATGAATATTCAGGACTGATCTCCTTTAGGATGGACTGGCTGGATCTCCTTGCAGCCCAAGCGACTCTTAAGCGTCTTCTCCAACACCACGGTTCAAAAGCATCAATGGTGCACGCATTGCTTAGCCAAGATGGATTCCAATGAGAAGGACTCTGGGAGGTCGGTAGGAGTTGTGGGGTCTCCTTTGACCTTTCCTGAATTCTTCTGGTGGGTGGTGGCTTGTTCTTTGAACCTTACCAGGACCTCCTGTCATAAAATAACTCTTGGCAAGTGGTTACTATGGTGCCTGGCCAGCATGGACAGTTTCAGTCTGTTTCTCCCAACAGTAACTTTGCCTCTTAATCTGAAACTTCGGGCAAGATTGATGCTGGTTTTGCACATACACAGGATGCTGGAATGTGTTATCCACTGGGCAAGGGCATCTAGGACTCCACTCTACAGGGAAGGTCACAGTGCCCTTTTGTGAACAAGTGTGCACCTTTGGCTTAGAACATCTCATTCTGCTACTGGGTGAGACAGTGCTTTGAGGGTTAGCTCCCTGTCTCTTTGCTTGTTACCAGTAGTAAACACTCCTGCTTTAACCAAAAGCGCCTGGTGTTTTCAGAGGTTCAGCACCCCTGGCATTGGGTCCATTGAGTACCCTAGCAGTTGGCAAAGAGTCAAGAGTACTGAGACAACAATCCGGAAGCCTCGTGCTCACAACGAAGCCTCGGGACCTACGAGCCCAGACCCAGGTTCTGAGTTCTCTGGGAGGCAGAGCCTCTGGGCTTGGAATCTAGTGGAACCCTCCTGTTTGGAGAACAGAGGGTCCTAGAAAGTGAGAGGGGCTGTCTTCAGAACTCCTGCAGCCCTTGGGACAATGTTAGAAGAAATGTTTTCTAAAACTGACTCCAGGACAACTCCATCCTCAGGTGCAGGGTTTAACTCATGGAGCCTGCCATGCTGTGGGAAAGCCATCAGCTCTTCTGGAAGCCCTGGACTAGCTGACCAGACTGGACCACTGACCAGTGACCATACTGCCACCCTGACCCCTGCTGACCCCAGTTAGACTAGACCTGTGAGTGACAGATTTGAAAGTCAATGCTTCTCCAGGAACTGACCCCGAATTCCTACCTGCCCCATTTCCGCAAGCACTTCCACCTTGTGTGATGCCTATGGGCATCTTGTGTGGGAAGCCGGTGCCTCTAATGAAACATTCAGGTTGGTACATCATGTGGCCTTCCTTCCCTGTAAATCCACTGGACACAGGAATCCCTTACAGCCTCATCTGAATACCACCTTCCAGCCCTTAGGATTCACCTCCTGGATCCAGGATGCACCAAACTTTCCTGTTGTGATTGCATCTCTACTCACCCTCTGTGCAGGGATCACATGTTGGGGAAGAAAAACTTCTACCCACTTAGATTCTATTCTTGTTGTTGTTCAGTTGCTATGTCTTCTGCATAGAAGTTAAATAAGCAGGGTGACAATATACAGCTTTGATGTACTCCTTTCCCAAGTTTGAACCAGTCTGTTGTTGCATGTCTGGTTCTAACCATTGCTTCTTGAGTTGCATACAGGTTTCTGAGAGACAGGTAAGGTGGTCTGGTATTCCCATATCTTGAAGAACTTTCCACAGTTTGTTGTGATCCACACAGTCAAAGGCTTTAGCATAGTGAGTGAAGCAGAAGTAGATGTTTTTCTGTAATTCTCTTGCTTTTTCTATGACCCAGCAAATGTTGGCAATTTGATCTCTGTTTCCTCTGCCTTTTCTAATCCCACCTGGTGGATTTGGAAGGTCTCAGTTCATGTACTGCTGAAGCCTAGCTTGAAGGATTTTGAGCATTACTTTGCTAGCACATGAGATGAGCACAATTGTAAGGTAGTTTGAACATTCTTTGGCATTGCCCTTCTTTGGGCAATGATTCTATTCTTGGAGACTGCAAATTAAAAAGACAGATTAGCAAGAGGACAGATTTGAATTTTTATGTGTATGGGAGAATTCAGAGAAAAATGCAGTCTTAGGAGGTGGTTAGAATCTAGGGCTTATATATCATCTTAATGGAAGTGGGGAGAGGGAGAGAGGCACCTGGGAGAGAAAATGCCTTCTTAGAAGAGGGTGGGGCAGAAAGGGCACTTATGCAAACACCGAGGACTTTGGAGAGAGCAGTGGTCACTTGAGAGAGACAAGCAATAAGATAGGACAATATCTGTTTGGGTTTTTTTCAGAGAAGAGGAGGTTAGTTTTTTTGTAGGAGGGGTACTGACATGTTTGGAAGTCCCAAGGTTCAGGCCTGTAAGGGCTTTCAGGACCTCAAAGTCTTGAGCTCAGAATAGTTGTTAGGTAACAATGGCTTATTCTGGAGCCCTTTGTGTGG